CTGCTCCTTTTCTATGCTTTGATGGCTGGGCATCTATCTTATCCTTAGATACAAAGTTTAGGTTTTTCTTGCTAAAAGATATTGTTGAATTTATGACAGTAAATAGTTACAGAGGAAATTATAGCCTTTTTGTTTCTAATCAGTAATTTATGTGTTTTTCCCTTAAAATATCATGAAAGTTAAAACGTTCTCATCATGAGGGAAAGAGAGTGTGACTTTTCACAGCAATGCATGTGTTAAAACTTCCTTCTGGTTTTCGGTGTGAAAAAAATGCAGGGCAGGCTAAGGGATGATTACAAAGTCTCTGTTACTTTTTAGTTTTAGTTTCCTATGGTACAGAATTTACAATGACTTTCTTTCTCTGGCCATTATCAGGAACAGAGTATTATGGCGCGTATGGGCATTGACTCAGGAACTACTAACATTTTTGATGAAGTAGACAAGAGTGACTTTAAAACTGACTTTGGTTCGGAGTTTCCAGTAGGTTCAACCTTCTATTCTTATTGACATGTAACCCACCCACTCCCACCCAACTTGTCACTGTCCTTTGTCTTTTGCCCCATGTACCAGAATGACTTGTGCACCTGTGATGTGAGTGTGATTTTGCCATGTTCCACCCTGAGTTACAGTGATCATCTCCTACAGTTGTATGACCTCACTTCATCCTCAGCTTTGGTTACATTGTCTCTTTTGCCAATTATAACATGCTTTTCCTCCTAGCTGACTGTGACTTTTAGTTCATTTTGAGTTTATTGTTTCTCGGAATGCATGAGTATAGTTTCGTCTTGACAGTCCGTGCTGATTTGCTGTATATGTCTGTGCTTCTAATGAGGAACTTTCAGCTCTGGACTTGTACTTTCATTCTTCTGCTCTATCTCAGGATAGTTTATTAAGCATTTCTCATGAACCCTAGGGAGTAATTCTTTATAAAAACATATTTTTATTTGAAGTACAGGTTAAAACATTGATGTCTGTTACTCCTTAGCCTTATTAGTTATCATTATGTATATGTTTTTGGGAGGAATATAGCTGTATGATGAAAACACTTATCTATAAATCTTTTGTGTCTGCTCCTTGGGTGGTATAGACACATTGGTTATTTTTTGTTGTTGTTCTGAACTCATGTATGGATTTCATTTTCATTCATTTACCTAAATGTGGAGTAAAACTGACAGTTTCCTGCTTATCTGCATATGAATTTTATGGAAATAAAATTTTTGCATATTTTTTGCTTAGTGGTTAAGTGGAACAATATATTATTGTATAAACATCTTGTGTGTTTAAAGTTGTAGTTTGTAACACTGTGGCTTGGTTTCATTTGCTTTCATTTACAATTTCCAACATTTGTTTTACATGACTTAGATTTTTTCTCCCATGCCTGGAGAGTCCTGTGAGAATGCCAACCCTTCTTTGGGCAGAAGAATGTCCATTAATGGTGAGAAATTGGCAAAAAGGGAAAAACCAAGGGAATTAATTTTTCCATCTAATTATGACCTCCTCCGTCACCTGCAGTATGCAACACATTTTCCGATACCTCTGGTAAGTTGTTGCTTCCTTTACTTTACACCTTAATTATTTTATTGGGAGTACTTTAACAGTTGAGTGGCAGATATTTACCTACCTGTCTGGCTTACACATAACAATGTCAGGTGAGTTTTTTGCATTTGCTATTCTATTTGTTATAATTCCAATCATACAGTTTTGTGTGCCAGTGTAGTCTGTTTGTGTTGTGATATTAGTGATTGATTAGTTTAATAGAATTTTCTGTATTCATATTCTTTCGCCAAAAGCATTTGACTCATTGCAAATGATCTGTAAATGTGTTTTCCTACTTCAGTTTTAAAATCATGTACTGAGTTAGCCTTTATGTGTACTGTGTGGTGATAGGTACTTTTTAATATTATACACATGGTTAAGATTTTAGGGACACAAGACAGATGAATAAGACAGGAGAAAGACTTATGCTTATAAAATGAGAAGCACTCTTGTTAATGTAGTAATTCAGTAAAACCCTACGTGCCCCCTGGAAGGTTTGCCATTTAGTATTCCTGGGTCCCTTCTACTCTTGAAGAATCAATACTGGAGGGAAAGAGCATCCAACTAAGAAAATAGATAAGATTTCTTGGAAGAAATTGTAGTTGAGATGGACTTGGATTTGCATTGGATATAAAGAACTGGGTTGCATAGAAATGTAGTGTTGGAATATTTTTAAATATAAACAAATTTTATTTTCCATTGGTTGCATATATTGCATGTCTAGTGAAATGCATTTCATATATATATATATATATATATAAAATATGATAAAATTAGAATATTGAAAATTTTCATTATTGTCAAGAAATTGATGTTTTAAAAATTTTTTTAAACTAGTACCTGATTGTAGTACATGCGGATTGCATTTATTGTGGGAAGTTGGTACAGGTACATAACACATCTTTTATTATTGCTTTGTGTTGGTGTTTAGTTTGTGTGATGTGTTCATTATAAAGGAAAACAAGATTAGTTTTTTATATTTTTAGTGGAAAGTGGGCTAATTTCTGAAAATAGTTGTTGGTTTCATGAACTTAGTTTTCTACAAGTTTACGGTAAGGGCACTTTAAGTGAGCCACTTTTTTCATGGGGTTCTTTGCTGTATCAAAATGTAATTTTGATAAATGTGTATTAATTTTCTAGTTCTCTTTTAGAAGTTTTGGTTGACATGCTAAGAATACTGTTAAAGGTACTTTTTGGTAGTTTTAGACGTCCTCCAAGGTGACTCAGTATCACTAAACTCACATTTTGTCTTACTATAATTAAAATATTTCTTTTTTTTCCTTGATTTTATATGTATGACTATGTCAAAACTTGACAAAATTCTTTCTTGTCATTACTCTTTGAATATGTCAATATTTTTTAACTGTTAACTGGCACCAGCAATTTTAGTAGAAAGGAATAATATGACAGTTTATTGAGGGTAACAGGGAGGGTAGTTGTGTATGTTAGAGATGTGCTGTGAAGAAGCCATGGATAGACTACTATGATGTCTGGGGTTCGTTTTAAAATATTTAGAGTAGAAACAAGGGTGTTAAGTTTGGAGTTTATTTACTATTAATGCACCATTGTTAACCTTAGTTTCAGTAAATGTAGCAGTTCTGCAAGGCATTAACATTTGGGGAAACTGGGTGAAGTGTGAAGTGTACACAAGAACTTGCTACAGTCTTTGCAGCTTTTCTTTTCTTTTTTTTTTTTTTTTTTTTTTTTGTCTTTTTCCTTTTTATCAGTACCAGGGATTGAATTCACGACTGCCTGCTTGCAAGGCAGGTGCTTATGCCACTGAGCTAAATCCCCAGCCCCTTTGCAGCTTTTCTGTAAACCTGCTTGCTGTTACTCCAAATAAAAACTTTATATATAAGAAAAAATCAAAACGGGAGATAAAATAGAACGTTGAAATGACTGAGAGTTATTTGCTTGGATAAGGAGAACTTTGGAGGTCTTGCTCTATACATCAATTATCTGAGCAGGAGGCTAAGCATCAGTATCTTCATTTTGATATTCTGTGACCTTGACTACATAATTGTTCCCAGCTTTTAGCATTCTAAAGACTGTCCAGTTCCTTAGAAGAAAGGTCTTGATTTCCAGTGATCATCTGTCATAATGAATCTAGACATAATTCAACTGTAGTGTACTTGCAACAGAACTTATACTAGACAACTTTTTAAGTAGTTTTCTACCACCAGTTACTCTAATCTCCCCTTTACATTGAGTATAATTCAGAAGAAGTCATCAATAGAGAGAGTAAAAATATATGCTAATATTATATTGATAGACCGCTGTTGAGAGTCCGGCTCTCAACCTGAATAGAAAGGGAAATATGACCAACCTGTCATGCCTGTGAGGAGAATATAGGAATATGGGTAAGAAAACTTTTTTTAGCTCTTCCAACTCTACTAGGGAGCCTTAATGAGTAAAAACTAAGGGAAAAGAACAAAAGGGAATTGGATCAAAGGTTCAGAAAATTAAGTTTCATCTATGCTGTTATATGAATAATGACTTGATCTGTTCACCAGTAAGAGATGTTATTTAGTTTACTAACAAGTAGGTTCTGGATTATAAAACTCTTCTACAAGCCTGTAACTTCATCATATAGATGAGAGTCATCTATACTGTGTCAGATATGTGGTACTGATGTCATTACTACCAGCTACCTAGAATTTATTAGCCCTTACTTTATACATTTTTATAGGCACTTTGTGCATTTTAAAATTTACTATTCACTTAAAACTCAGAGAATACATTTGTGAAATTGTGGACAAAAATTTCAAGTTTCAGAAACTCTTAGCCAGGTGGGGCAGCCCACACCTGTGATTCTAGCACTTGGAATACTGAGACCAGCCTAGATTACTTAGTGAGCTCAAGGCCAGCCTGAACTACGTAGAAAGACAACATCTCAGAAAAAGAAAAAAAGAAGAAAATCATTCTTCAAGTCCAAAAAGAAATTGGAAATCAAACTTGTTTTCCTGGCTTCCAGGAACACAATTTCTTAATCATTGCGGCTAATAAAAATGTATTACCAAGTATTTCAATAGAAGTTTTTTCTAGTGACACCAAAAAACAGTCTCATCTATGCTTAACTTTTCTAGTTCTCTCCCTAATAAGTCTGTATTTTATTGTTGTGTACTGAATCCTGTTTCACTGCTGGTTGTAAGAATTTGGCCAGAGTCGTTACCACAAGAGCTAGAATGACGCCTGCCTGCATTACATTGCAAACCCCCATGGGGTCAGACTGCTTTCTGGACTTGAGCAGCACCTCAACTCAGCATGTGCTCTGTTCCTTACATGGCCTTGTTATGTTGAGTCTTGTGTGTCTATTTTAAGATCTTTTGACTGGTGCAGTTTTTCCATACCTTTCGTGTGTGTTTCTTGTTCTAAAACAGTAGTTTCAGTAGTTAGTGTTATTTGACAGCTCCCTTGCCCATGCATTTTGTATTAGGACGAAATAAAAGCAAGAAATCACTAGATTTATATTACCCACAGCAGAACACCTTTTTAATCTACAGGTAGAATGAAGGTTACATTAAAAATTTATCTGTGTGTTTTTCATGCTTTTAGTTATGAGAGGTTTTAATTGTATTAGAAAAAAACTTTTATACTAAAAATTGGAGTGGTAGTGAACAAATGGGTTACTGTTTCTTGAAGTAATGTATTTATCAAAAGGCTTTAAAGTTCTATGATTGGAGGGTTTACTGGCAAATTACATAGATATTAATGTGCATTTTTTTTATCAAGAAATCAATCCCAGACATTCAAAGTCTTTTATAAACCTCTTTTTACTTTAAAGATATTATGGTATTTTACCTTCAGTTTACTTGTACAAACATTTGGGTTAAGGGGTATCAACAATCATGTGAACTTAAGACTGGTCTGCATTTGGAAACAGGGTTTCCGTGTAAATCAGCCCACATTTGCTGATGTTCTGTACTTTTCATTGTCAAGATTTTATTTGTCTCCTTCAAATCTATAAGAAGCTTTGTGATCCAGTAAAGCAAGAAGTGAGCAGGAACAGTTCCGTACTTTATGCCTCAATTTCATACCTTGAGTTTTCTTTCTGAGCCTTAATCTCCTTAGATGAGGCAAAAGTCTGAGCGACCTTTAAGCGGAATGCTTTTGAGAGGTGATAGTACAGAATAGGGTCTAAACACAGGTTTGACACAGCCAGGAGCAGCGTGGCCTCCTTGGCTTTGAAGAGTGAAATCCTGGTCGTGCAGTCAGAGATGACTTCTGTCTGGCTGAGGGTGTATGGGATTCGGACCACATGGTAAGGAACAAAGCAAACGATGTAGCCAGCAGTCACTACCAATATGTTGGTGAGTGCTTTTTTCACATATGGATAGTTTTCATTATCTTTGTTTCTATAGAGTTGTCGAATTACAAGGCAGTTGGATATTAAAATCATGGCGGAGAAATTTAAAAATATTGCTATACATATGAAATTTGTTAGCAAATGCCAATTTCTTCCAAACTCATTTTTAAATTCCATACACCCCACATTTGACTTTTCCTTGATGTCTTTGATGGGAATCGCCATGTTTGGGGCCATTAGAAGAAGTACCATAAGCCACACTACAGTTGACAGCATTTTGGCAAATCCAGGCTGTTGTATACGGTAGATCTTGTAGGTGTGTGTCAACTGAAGATAGCGATCAATGCTGAGAAATGCTAAGAATATAATTGATAAGTACATATTGATATATATAAGGCATGCTGTAACTTGGCAGTGGAATACTCTCAGTTTCCATGGTGCCACACCCAAGTCGACAGTAATCTTCACTGGTAGTGCCAGAGTGAGCAGGAAATCTGCTATAAGCAGATTGATTAAGTATATGCTTACACACTGGTGCTTTGAAGTTTTCTGTATAAATGCCCAGGTTGCAAAACAACTTCCAATAATTCCAACAAGGAAAACTAAGTAAAAAAAATATGTGAATGGCTCCAGATCTCTGTAAACTGGACAGAACAATGAACTGTTTGTCATCTTGAGGGACAGGAAGAATAACGTCAATTTTTAAAAAAAATTCAGCACACTTTTTTTTTTTTTTAAAGCAAGGTCAGTACTTAAAGACTGTTCCTTTTAAACACATTTGGACTGATAATACCATGATATTTCTTGTTTTTAGGTAGAATTTTAATTGACTTTGCTAGACATGTAGACTGTTTGGAACATCCTAAATTATGAGAAATCCTTGGTTTTCCCTTGTTTGGTTTTGTGACTTTCAGGGAGTCCTGTGTAGTTTGCTTTTGGAAGGGGTATTTTGCCTTTATTGGTATTATATGCTAATACCTCTTCATTAAGCAGTTGGGTGGGAAGACAGTTTTCAGAAGAGGTAAGTGAAGGTGGAGTCTGAGAAGTAGGTGCAGATAACAAGCACTACAGGTGTGCCCGAGCACCTCTCAGTGAGGCTTTGTGATTCTCCTTTTAAAGAGTCAGGTAGGTCCTCATCCTGGAAGAGCTTGGCTGACAGCGATGGCAGCAGATTGTAGTAGGATTAAAAGTGTGATTTAGAAAGTAGGCCTTTGGGCTGTGGATGTCGTTCAGTGGCACAGCTCCTGACTGGCTAGTGTGAGGTCCTGAGTTCAATTTCTGGAACTAAGAAAAAAAAAGTAGACTCTTTATTGTATGACATATGAGTTCATTTTTCAGAAACAAAATTTTATATCTTTTTTTAGTAGAAATAGTCGAAGGATTAGAATATGACTTGGTCTTATTACCTCCCTTTTCATTACTCCAATTTCATAGTGGTATAGACCTGTGATGTCCAGTATTATGGCCGCTAGCTGTGTCCAGTTATTAGATACTTTAAACAGTCCAAGTTTGCATGTCCTATAAAATCACTGGAAAACATTGTCTTAGCAGCAATAATGAAGGCAATGATGACTCAAATGATAATATCATAGCAACCAATCTTTACCGCATAGCAACCAATCTTTATTCTATGATAGGAATTATATTCTGAGCAAGTACATGCTAAGCTTGTTAAACTTAGGCCACATTCTATAAATTTATAGTTTAACTTCAGAGTTCTCATGACTAAGTTCCTCCATATTATTCTTCTTCCTAGGGTCTTACATATACTAAGCATGTGATCTGTCACCCACTTACAATTCCCCCTGCTGTCCTTAATGCCATTTCTCTGATTTAGATTGGTGGGATCTCCATTGTCAGTGAACAGTTCCTTTTTGCCTTTGAATTTTTATGTGAAAAAGCGTGGATCCTTAGGACTAATGGGTAGAGCCTTTGCTGACAGCGTCTACCCCATACTCCAATAAGCTGAGGAGACTGAGCTTGAGTTGTATGTTGCTTAAAAGTTTGCATCTTGTTCAAGCAGGACTAGGCTCTTCCCTCGCTGATCCCCTAAGGAAGACATTTTAATCTCTGAATTACTCTAGGCTTCACTGACTTCTGCATGACGCTTATTTTTGATAGTTACATTTGTTTGGGTTCTGAGCATGCTTTGCTTTGTGTCAAAAATATGTCATTGTACAATGATCTTGTCTCTCACTTTTGCTTATTATGGCGCCCCCCCCCCCGCCCCCCTACGGGGGATTGAACTCATGACCTCGCACTTACCAGGCAGGCGCTTATGCTGTTGAGCTAAATCCCCAGGCCTCTTATTGTTCTTTTATAGGATTTTGACTTAAGCCATTTATTTCAAATTTACATAATGACAGTAATCTCATAATGTATTTATTTAAATGCCCTATTACTTGCACACTTATGTGGTAAAATCTCATTTTATAATAAGACTTATGTGGTACATAGAAGAATTAGAGTATTTTGTTTTGATTACTATTCTCTATAAATTAGAGCTGATTACAAATCTATAGGTAAGTAACTCAATTGTAATGTAGCTGTCATTCAGCAATGCTTGATTATCATCAGTGTATCGCATTAGTTTTTGTGAAATTCTATCAAAATTGCAGTGAAAAGTAATTTAAAATCCTTCGTGATGATGATGTCATTTAGGGTTAACTTATACAAATGTAACAGCCCATGTTTGACTCACAAATTTGAAAAGTAAGAGCTTGTTATTTTGCCAGCCATTTTGGGCCAGTGGCAATTTGATGTGTTCAGAGGTACTCCAGGAAAATCAAGGAAATACTTAAGTACCTTTTTACTTCTCGAAATGCCCATTGCTTTAGAAAAAGTTTTCAAAATTTTCTATATGAGGCATTGTGGAAAATTATTACATGTTGCAGTATTTGTTGAGGAAATTATTTTAAAATCTGTTGTGAAGAACTATAACATTCGCCTTTATCCACTTAGTTATAAAACTGAATTATTGAACAGGCATGTTCATCTAGATATTTAGTCTTATCTGAATTAAGCTGTTTCTTTGAGACGGATGGAGTCTCAGATAGTAGAGATAGCAGAACAGTTCATGTCTAGGATCTATTTAATAATTGGTGCCCATTTACACAGCAGCTTTTGTTAAATGTTAGCCTTTTCTACATAAACATTGAAAAAACATAAATCTTCCATGTGTGAGACATCGTTTAAAATAGATTAAATATTTAAAATGACATACCTGGGGTTTCTTTGAGTCTGCAAGGCCTTGCCCTACATCTTCAGGCAAGTGGCAGCATAGCAGAGTTGCTGGCTATACTAAAAGTTTTCTTTCCTTTTGTGTGGTTTTAAAATGTTGCATGTTGACGTAGATGAAACTGTGGTTTGTGACTAGTTTAACTGCAAAAAGTCTCCTAATGAAACTTTTAAAATGAATTTTTGTTATACTTACAAAAGCTGTCCAAATTTGTCAGTAATTTTCAGAGAAAAAGATTTTCATTTGTCTGTTGTTTTACTTAGCTTTTCCTGAGTTACCCAAGATATGATTTTTACCAGTAGTTTCAAAAAATATCAATGGTTATGCCTTGAAAAGGATTATGACTTACAGATGTAAGATGTTTTAAGCAAATATGTCTTCAGTGTACATGGTGATACTCACCAGCATTTAAAGATTACAGTCGATGAAAAGATATGTTTGCAGTTTTTATCCTTGTGGAAACATCTACTAAACAACAACATAAAAAGAGATTCTGTAGGAATTTGGTAAAGTATATATATGATCTTTAGTGTTGCTTGGACAGGTGTCATTTAACCAGTTGATTCTTATATTGAATAAATTTGATAAAATTGTCATTTTAATATATTCTTTTATATTATAAAAGTTAATGAAAAAGCATGCACTGTTTAGTTATTTTGTATTTAAATAATTGGAATGGTAAGTGGTTAATGAATTAAGACTGTATATAGTGATAATAGAGTATATGTAAAGGAACCCTTTAGTGTACTTTTTTTTTTTTTTTTTTTTTAAACTGGTACCGGGGATCGAACTCACGACGCTGATCTAAATCCCCAGCCCCCTTTAGTGTACTTTAAATTATTTGGTTACATGTTCATTCTGCCTACGGGTGAGAAAATGTTAATTGAATGTCTGAAAAGAGCTTAGAGAACCTTGATAAAAAGTTGCTATCTCTTAAAAAATGACTGCATACATACGTATCATCCATTGGCTTTTTAATGTCTTTCTCTTTATATATGAGAATGAGATTCTGACACAAGCATATTTTCTGGAGTTCTAAATGTGGTGGTCAAAGATTGATTTGTAAGTACAAAGCTGTTGCTATCTGGTTAGGGTCTGGTTTCTTCCAATGCTACACTGCCTTGATAGGTGTTTTGGTTTTCTTTTCTTTTTCTCCTGAAAGTTAGTTTTCAGTTTTCTAGACAAGAAAAAACCTCTTTGAATCTGAAACAAATTTCTTGGAATTAGCTTTTAACAGAAGTTCTCAAAAGACTAAATGAGAAATGTCTAGCCAGAGAAAGTTTAAGGAAAGTTAAAGGAATTGTTAATAAAAAATGGTAAGGCTGCTCATGATCGTAATGGCCATTGGTTCAGATATCCTGGCATATTCTGAATTCATATAGTTTTTATTGTAGGCTTCTGTTTGTTTGGTTATGGACTCCAGAGTTAACTACCATTGTAACAGTGCTAGGAAATCTTCTGTCTTTTAAGATATGTGTGCTTTGCTGTGGACAAGATTTATTGACGAAATACAGTTGTAGAAAAGACAGATTTGTAGCTAAGTAACTGAGCAGCTGTGATCACAGTTCCCACTCCTGGGGATGGGGTGACAGTGAAGAGGGAATTTAGAGGTGGAGTTGGCTGCAGACTGGTGAGGATTTTAATGTGATACGAAGAAAAAGTGCGATAAAAGGTTTTTGGTGAAGTTTTTCTTCTTCTTTTAGATAGGAGTATTTATATATTTGTGTCTATGGGTCACTCCTTAGGGTTATTTGAGGGTCCACTAAGACCACAGCTGGTGTACAGATTACTAATGAAAGTGCTAAGGTGCTGTAGTTCTCAGTGTTCTCCTGGTTTTTTTTTTTTTTCTGAAATAGTGGGAACTGATAATTTAATAGTGAAACTGAATCATAGTCTTCCTTTCGAGAATAAGTTTTGGTAACTGGGCGTTGTGTGGAACTCTATTCACATTGGAAATAAAATTTTCCCTTAATGTCTTTAGTAATATATGTAATACACAAGTTCCATTTTAATTTCCACAAGCCATTTTTTTTTATCTGTTTCACTGAGGATGAATGTTTTTCAGAGTGTATTTGGTTAGTGTTCCAGGAAATTGCATGTCATCACTAACCCAGTATCTAGAAACCCCAGTGGGAAGAAGTGAGATAATGTTACTTCCCTCTAACCTTCCTCAACCACAGTACTTTTAAACGAAGTGATATAGTAGTTACTTTGATAAATGTTTTAGTGTGTACAATGTTAAATTGTCATGCAAGTTATGAATTGAGAAGGAAAATGCTTTTGTAGTCCGCTCTGCAGTATATACATATCATTCATTTGATTTTATTGAGGACAAACAATAGGATTTCAGGAGTGATATTAGCTTTTAATGTTTAACATTTTTAAAATTTGTTTTTTAGGCATAGCATAGAAACCTTGGGGAATTGATGAGAAAGGGGAAATTTAAGTGCTGGGAATGGGTAGTATCACAGCCAGACACTGTTCTGAGATTCATAAACTCTGTGGTACAGGAGATTCTGTTTATAGATGGTAAAACTGAAATAGGGAAAAAACAAGGCCTGCACAGTACTGTGGAGATAAAATTTAGTGAGCCAGCACCGGTTTTTTTTTTTGGTGTGTGTGTGTTGGTAGTGGTGTTGATAGTCTTACTGGGCGTTGAACCCAGGGCTCAGCTATGCTTGCTTGATTTATTTATACATTACAGTTGTATACCACCAAACACAGCATATGAGCCAGCTCTTTTTGCAGTGTGTTAGACAGGGACACTGGTTATGACGAGTATCACATCAATGCAGGTTTTCTCATTCAGTTAGTGTGGGTGACCACTTGAACTTGAATATCATTGGACAGTGTGTCACTATTTCCACTTTCCTCATGGATTTAGCAACCTCTGGAATGAGAACGCAAGATGTTCTCAGTTCATACTGGTTTTTTTTTTTTTTTTTTCTTTGTCTTTTATCGGTACCAGGGATCGAACTCACGACTGCCTGCTTGCAAGGCAGGTGCTTATGCCGCTGAGCTAAATCCCCAGCCCCAGTTCATACTGTTTTATATCTTGCATATTTTTATGATCATTCACTTCTGCAGCTGCCTGTATGTCTCAAATTCAAGCCTCTCTTTGGAGCCATTGTGCCTGGATTTGATTTTGAAAGATACTTTAAGTGCACAATTTCCTTACTCTGGATTTTCCCAAAGAATTTTCCCTGGTGCTGGCTTCATGTGATTAAACAGAGTAATTTTGAAGTAAGGTATTGATGTACAACTTACAGGGTATTGCTGTTTCTATCAGTTTTAACTCTTTAATGGCATAGTAAAATTTTGGAAATTCTTTGAAACTGAAAGTTGTTGCACAAGTTTTCGGCTGTGAGTGAGGTAGAGTAGTGGCCAAATATATATTCCTCAGAGTCCACAGCAGAGTCCTTTCCCCTGCCAGATCTCTTGGTTTCTTTTGATTGACTGCAGTGTTTTGGGGGTTCATAGGCATTTTGTGTTGTTTTCCATTTGTGAGTTGTGGCTGTGCTGTTATATCCATGAAGTAATTCATGGTGATGGTGGGAATCCCTTAGAATGTTCAAAGGTTATCTTGTTTCTTTTTCAGTCACCGAAGTTAATGGTATTTTTCCCTTTCTGTTTATGTTCATTTGTGATGAGCTTATTGTGACTCGCATATTTTCAAAGCACTAGCACATTTTGTAAACTCTGGCTACTTTCCATGAGAAGTTTCTTGGGAAAAATTCTCTTTTCCTTGCCATGTGAATCTTTCTTTTTGATCAAGTATATATGAAAAATTCTAGTAGCCAGTATTTACTGATTCAGGCTGCCCCTTGCACCCCCATTATAGAGAATATTTTTGTTATTTTTTGAAGAGTGTGTTGTAGAAGGGTGATACGGAATGTTATTCCTCAAACTGAAATGATATAGATTTACTTCATGCTCGACTGGAGAGTATCCAGGAACTTTGATTGCTTTTAATGAGGCAGGAAGCCTAAGGATGCTTTCTAGATGCAGCCAGAAGGTGGCATATTGGGGGATAATATCGATGTGTAGAGTACAGGGAGTGTGTTTTGGGATTATTAGGCAATGTAGGGATTTGGGCTGTCTGAGTAGGATCTATGATGCAAGGAAAAAATTGAGATCCAAATCATGCGAGCTCCTAAGGACTGTAGTAAGGAAGCAGTAGAGAGCTTACAAGGGTTATGCAGGGGAAAAAAACCTGTCAACTGAGGGTTACTAGGCAAATTTGGTAGCTTTGGAGTCTTTTGGGTTAAGAGAGAAAAATAGAAAACAAGAAGCCATTTAAGGAATGATTGCAGTTGTCTGAGTGAGAGGCAGAAAAGATCTGAAATTATTTGTGAGGGTGGATGTAGGAATCACTGGGTATGGCTTGCTGGGGGGAGGATGTTACAGACCCTCAGATACAGAACCAGGCTTGACTTTGTACCTTTTCTTCAGTCTGTCTTCTGTGGTGTCAGTTTCAACTCACAGGATGCTTTCGATTTTCTTTTTAAGGTATCCAAATGAAAGAAACACTTCCAGATTTACATCTTGCAATACTCCTTCCAGAAGATTTCTTTTAAAAAATTTTTTTTGGTACTTGGAATTGAACTCATGACCTCAAGCTTGCCAAATAGGCATTTGTGCTGCTGAGCTAAATCCCCAGCAGAAAATTTCTTGAGGAAGCTAGGAGTTGTTCTCATTGGGTCAAATTAGGTCTCATTCCATCCGAGTCTTTGCTTAGTCTATTCAGACATGTTGATTACCTAAACCTAATTCAGATTTGTATCAGCTATATGGCCCAGAGTAGGAAAAGTTTTACTTTATTGCTGAGAAAAGGTGATAGAGATTGAGGGTATAACAACAGATGAGTGCGTCTAGTGGCTACGTTTTGTAAAACAGCACTGCGCATGATTTACCCACCTCAGTGGATAGGTGTCACATGCAGTTGTTTTCCATGATTGTGATGTTTCTGGGATCTGTTTGATTCTTTTTGTCCCAAGTACTCCTTTTATATGAACGCTTTGAAACTTGTTTGCCTAGGTGATGGAATCGAGTGTGTATCAAAATGGAACATCAGTTCTGTTAAAATGTGATTGTTAGTAAGGGAGATTTTTGGTTGTAGGCATAAGTTACATTTCTAAAACATTATGTTTTTGTATTCTGGATGTTACAGTGCAGCTGTGGGCATATCACAGTCTATCATAGATGTATTTTAACTCCTGTTGGCTGGAGCTATGAGCCTGTTGATCTCTCTTGGTGAGGCATAAGCTCTAAGCTCAGAGTTCAGCTTCTGTTTTTTTTTTGAAACAGTGTTTACATTGCCTTCTCTGCCACTACAGGCGTCCTGTAGGTTTATCTGGGCACTCTAAGCATTGCAGCATCTGTGCTGCACTGTTACATACAAAGGACTTGGAAAATATACTCTGTTGTCTTCCTACATCTCTGCATCTGTCATCTCTCAAAAGTTGCTAGCATACTCAGTTGTTGCCAATGCCTGACATTTTGTATAGTTACTGCCGTGAACCAGAAGTTCTAGTATGCAGTCATTGATACTCAGCTGATGTTGCTCCACAGTCTCTTTATCTGCGTTGCGTGCCATTTTCTGAAATACTTCGTTTTCACATTACTAATCTGCTTTGGTGTGGAATTTAAAATGCATTTCTTGGTGCCATAGAGAAAACTAACTTTCCCAAAGAAAAGTTTTAATAGTATTTATTGCCTACAAAAGAGGAAGAGAGGCTGAGGAGACTTATCTTACTTCTTTTTTTAGAACTTTCTCCTGTGGCCCCAGAGGCAATTGAAACCCCATGTGTTACTTATTTGCTGTAGCCAGTGAAAGATGTAAAGAGTAACACGATTAAATTTTTTTCCAAGCATATTTAGCCAAATAAATATAGCACGCTTAGTTTACCAAGGATATCCGTCATGGCTTGAGAATTTTTGTTCTTTTTGATGTAGTTTATTTGACCCAGCATTGGGAACAGGGAGCTGTTAGGGGGGTAGAAAGTAAATATCCAGTGTGAAAACTTTCCCAGCCTTTCTTCAGTATTGAGTGTGTTTTCTGAGTTTTTCTGAAGCTGTTTTGAGGTGGGAGGTTGAACTGTATTTTTTTGTCCTAGGGTGTTGTTACTGGACATACTGAAGAATCCGTCCAGTATTGACTATAAGGAGGTTTGATAATGTCTCATACATTGATTACTATACTAGGAAAAAAATCTGACAGCATTAAAAAGAATTTTATTGTTACATATACAGTAAAACATGAAATAGATACAAATATTACTTAAAAATGTGTGTGAAAACATTTGAAAGATGGGCTGAATGTCTTCTAGACAGCAAATAGTAAAGAAATTAGTTTTATTAACTCATATACCAACAACCATATCCTTCATTTCCATGTATTAAAATACAGTGGCTTGCAGAGAGCATGATGCATTCACACATTATTTTACATTTTCAATCTTTTTAAAAAATCAGGTCCACTTGGTTTCTGAGAAAACTGTCCCTGCTAACTCCCTGAGAGAATAAGATACATTCTGGTGTGTGTCTTTTCCTAGTCATCCTGTCTCCCTCCCCATACTTTTGATAAATTGCTGGCAACACATTCTAATTCTTAGCTTTTCTCAGTAGAGTCCACTTAAAAATATTTTAATGTGACATCTTCAGACTTCCTTGAGTGCCTTAAATAAATTTGCATGTAAGGTATATTTAACATTTACCTAATATCCTTCAAAATGTAAAGTATTATTGTAAAGTACATAATTTATTGTATCTGCTTTTCTTTGAAATTCAGTGAGGTAAATCAGTATGGAATCTTTAAAATTTTTTTTTTCTGGATATCTGCTTATCTTGCTTCAAATCAGAGAAAACTTGATTTTTTCAATACACTAGCCCTTTATCAAACAGTGTCTGCTTTAAGTTGATCTTTAAGGATTCTGTTAAAAAGTTTATATCTTACTAATTTAATTCTTGTCTTCAGACAAAGAAGAAACCTATGTAAATTATGTTTGGTTTCTTCCTGTTTATTAAGTTCTACTTCAATTATTATAAATTTAAACCTTTTTGGAGTGTGATTGAATAGTTATATGCATATTTTTCTTATTAAAAAGAAAAGTAAATACAGCATTAGAAAAATCTAATGGTTTTTTTTTAAGTTTGATGCTACAAAACATGGAAACTTCATTTGAATTTTATTGTGCTAAGCATATTAAATTTAATATTTGTATTGAGTGATGTGTTGCTATGATGGTTATGTTATTTGTTCATTCAGTTATCATGTAATTGAAGATGTCAGACAGCATGCATGCGTGGACTTAGCTTGGAAGTGGGTGACAATTCATAGAGTATCTGTGCTTTCATGAATTGTGTTTCCTCTTCTGGCTTTGGCAATGTCCACGTCATAAGTTTTTAGTGAGATAGGCAGTTTCTTACATAAAATTTCTCTAAATGGTTGGCATAAGAAGAAATAAATAATAGGGTCTAGGCATACATTTGCAGCAGACAGTAGCAGAGTGAATTCTTTCACATAGAGTAAGAGTTCTTTTGACTGGCAGCTGTAATGACCTTCAGTTTGACTCTTTGTGTAGGGGATCCTGGCAATGTGGTATGGTACAAAACACACAAAAAATACGAACATGATGCTAAATATGTTGCGACTAGATTTCCTTTTGACTGAAATGGAATTCTTTCTGGACTTAAGGTGGCTCTTAAAGATTTTCCTTGTGATTGCTGTGTAGAAAATGATTAGTGAAAGAAACACAGCCCAGAAAATGCCCACGAAGATGTAGTTTGATGCTTTGTGCCACTTGCGACCCAGTTCATCTTTAAGTTTCATGCACTGTATTTTCTTAACCTCCCCAACACTTTGGTTGGTCAGGATGATGTTGGGCACAGCGAGTATGAGCATGAGCATCCATACCACCACCGACAACAGCTTGCTGTAGTTCACTGACTGGATGAATGAAGTCGAAAGGGGCTTTACAATTTTGTAGTATCTGTCAAAGCCTATGAGTCCGAAGAACACGATGCTGACATACATATTGACATAGAAGACAACAGCAGAGACCCTACATACAAACACGTTCAGCTGCCAGGGACCTAGGCCCGAGTCACTAATGATCTTAAAAGGAAAAGTCAGACTCATTAGAAAGTCAGCAACAACAATGTTCTTGAGATAGACAGTGAAGCTCTTTGAACTGGGCACGTGAAAGAAGACCCATCCTGACACTCCGTTGAGTAGGAGCCCAGTGATAAAGACCATGCAGTACAGCACAGGGATGATCTGCTGAGTGATCAGGGTGTTCCTCGAGCAGGGCAGGTCTGGAGGCTGCGTGGTGGAGTTGAACATCTTGTAACTCCTCAGGGAAAGGCCTGGAAAGATGTTTGGATTAGTTACTCAAGATTCCTTGGAGACAACTCAAAGGTTGTCTTGTCTCCACCTCATTTGTTGAGTAATAGAGACAATGAATGTGGTCAGATGCACTGAGCTCTTGAAGCATTTTACTCCATGTAAATTTGGCCTCTGCCCCTTCCTCTCTTTCACTTTTGCTAATTGATTCCTTTATCCTTTTTTTTTTTTTTTTTTTTAATGGTGAGGAGGGAATGGAAAGGGAAGAACAGAGAAGTCAGATGAGAACAAAGAAAAATTGTAGATTCAGGACTGTATGAGCATTTTGACTCAGAGACCAAGATTTCTCTAAAATGACATGGTTTGCTATAAACCCTAGAGTTCTAGGAAATGCTTACTTGATATAGTCTAAAGTGCTTAAAAGTAGAATTCAGCGTTTCATTTTATTTGTAGATCTTTAATGTGTCAGGCTTCTGTCTTAGATATACTTTTTTTTCTAGTTGTGGTGGTGCAGGCCTATAATATAGCATCACTTTGGGAAACTGAGGCAGGGGATGACAAGTTTGAGTCCATCTTGGGCCTCTCAGTAACTTAGCAAGACCCTGTCTCAAACAATAAAAATGGCTGGGAATGCATATATGTATGTGTGTGTGTGTGTGTTCTTTAAAGTTAAATTTTATGGATTCATGAGTCTAGGTATTACATTTGAAGGAGCTGTTGAGACCTTTTTAGAAAATCTACCTTACATATATTTCAGATGCAAGACACTATCTTAACAAGTACTTAACAAGTATACATAGCCAAATACTAACTAGTATTTTTAATATGGGATTATGGATATCTTTTCAAAACCGAGCTTTTCTGGTTTTTTTGTCTTAGCCATGCAAAAGATGATTGCATTATTTAATAAACTAGAAAGGAAAAACAAATATGATAGAAGGTTAAAAAAATGTTTCCTAAGCTAAAGCCTAGATCTGTATTGGCTATGATACTTGGCTGTTAACACCTGAAATACAGCCATTCCAGATTGAGAAACGCTATAAAATATAAAGTAAGGGATTTTTGCTGATTTAGGCTGAAAAAATGTAAAATGTGCCAGTGTTTTAAAGTATTAATGTAAAAATGATGCTTTTTTAGTAATATTTCATCACATAAAATATTACAGCGAAGCATGGTAATACATTCCTATAATCACAACTGTATGGAAGACTGAGTCAGGAAGCTGGTAAATTTTCGGGCAGCTTGGGCAGCTGAGCAAGGTTCTATTTAAAAACAAATAAGGATGGGGATGTAGTTTAGTGGTACAGTGATCTAGAATGCAAAAAAAATTGTGCATATACCTTTAAATGTATTCATGTACATGTGTGCATAGGTACATAAGTATTAATAATCTTAATTTCAGTTGATTTTACTTTTTAAGTATGTCTTCTAGAAATTTCAAAATTACATGTATTGCTCATGTTAAATTTTGACAACTCTGTCCTAGGCGTCACCAGAGCCTCCTGTGATTAGGGCATACTGTGTGTTCTCCATGAATGTGGGACTATTGATTTTGGGCAGAGGGAAGATTATAATTTATTCAAAAAGTTATTTGATGCTTGGTGCAAGTGTTTGCCTCCCATCTCCTGTGTGAATAACATCAGTATCTGCGGAAGGCCCTTGAGTTGTTTGTCCTGCCCTCGGGATAATGTCCAGACTCTATGAGTTTGAGTTGCAGCAAACCCCATCGTGGTCTGATCTGTACTCTCCCCTCCCAGCAATGAGTTCTGGATCCTTCTGCTTCCTTTTAGGATTTCTTTCACCTCAGATCTTTGTATAGAAAACTGATCTGTTGCCTTTGTGGCCATCATATTCTCTTGAAGGTGCTTGACCCTGGGTATCACTGTTTTGTCAGTCTTCTGTGGGCTTTATACATATGCTCCTGCTTCATATCGTGTTAGCCAGGTTTTTACTATTACAACAGAATACCTTAAATCACCTTGAAAGAGAAAAGGGGGTATTTTGGCTCACAGTTTTGGAAGTTTCTACTTATGATTGATTATCTCTTGCTCATGGCCGATGGCAAGGTCACATATCATGGTGGGAGCATGTTGTGGAGTGCGGAGAATGAGGAAGTCTGAGACCCACCAGACCCTCTACGGTCATCCTCTCAGTGACCTAAAGAACTCCTGCCATGCCCTGCTTCTTAAAGGTCTATCACCCGCCAGCAGTACCACTATGGGGACCAAGCCTTTGACATGTGGGCTACCAAGGGATATTCTCTATCCCAAGTATAGCATGTATTCTAGATGATAAGTAAGAGGAAAGTGCTTCTGGTTTTTAAAAAATTTTCCTTATAGGAAAGGTGAGTGGCAGCCACAGGTATTGGGTTGACCTGAGCTGTCAAAGTCTTTCCAGGTTGCTCTGGCATGCAGTTGGAGATCCCAGGGCTACACCAGCCACAGCCCTTGGAAACATGCTCTGTGTTTTCATTTTTAACCCCGCTGACAGAATGGCTTTTCCATTACTAAGTTACCCCCTGATTGTTGGATATATTTTATATAGAAGCTGGTCTCACAGATGTTAATAGAGTTTTTATCAATTTTAGTGTCTAGTTTCGTATCCCAGTGCTAGGGACACAGTCCCCTCAGTCACGGTGGTATATACAGTACTCCAGGGAGGAATCAGTATTTGGAGGATTCATTTGGCCTCAATTATAAAAAATGCAGATTTTTATTTTGAGGAAAAGAAATATAAACTGTATAGAATAAGATGTGCTCAAAAATATGATGAGTGTTTAAATTAAAAACTATTATAATAGTGAAACTATTATAATAGTGAAAGATACATTAACCTCCTTGAAATACTCCCTCTTGCTTCAAATACCCTTGTCCCATTGTTTTGGGCACTTTCTGAATATGTACACGGAGTTGTTTTTCCTGAGTATCTTTACAAGGTATAATTAAAAAGTAGAATGAATACTGCCACCACGTATAACCCAGTGTAGAGGCAGGCTTGTAAAAACCTAGCAGTGTACACTTATCTGTCTTATTCACTGAATCTGGCTTCAGGTGATTCTGGTTCTTCTCCACACTCAAAGTCACTGAAAGTAAATGGCTTGAATCAGTTTAGGCTATTGAGGCAGCTGTGACAGCACACCTAGAGGTCTGAAAGAGGACGCTGAGCACTGGTTCAGAAAGTGGCAAGAAGGAGGGGCTAAGTGGGTTTGAAGTGAAGGTATTTTAAAGACAGTGTCTGATAAGTATCCTTTGCTGTGACACGTTTTTAAAGTGTTTAAGCATTCATTGTATTTTGATCATTCATCATGTGTAGTTATAAACTTAAAATTGTGAAGAATTTCCTGGAAGTGACTTAATGGTATCTAAATTGTTTCTTTTAGAAATATTATAGAAGCCATCATGTGTTATGGATAGAGGACTTCCCAGACATGATTTCATGAGAGAGATACTTCCTTTCCTTATAGAAGCCTATCTCTGTAAATTCATGTTCTGGGTTTGCAGGGGCTGCCTTTTATAGGAGAGGGACACCATACTGGGGATTGAACCTAGGGTTTCCACACAGAGTTACAATCCCAACCCATTTTATTTTACTTTATTTATTTTTTTTTATTTTTAGACAGGGTCTTATAAAGTCTCTGTAACTGTTCAGGTTGGGCTTAACTTGGGATCCTCCTATCTCAGTCTCCGTACGTAGCTTCCACAATTTTGAGCTGCCATATGTCTGCTCATGGTGGGATTTTGTTAGTCCAGAACAGTGCACATACAGTCTTCGGCATGCTAAGAATGTGTGTATACAAGCTCTTTTGATCCCCAGCATTATTTTTCATCACCCTCCCTTTGTTGGGAGGGTCTGAGTTGACCCCGACAAACTTTTGGTTTATAAATGGTAGAAATACAGTAGCTTGCTTGAGTCCTTTCCGCAGACACTGTCTTGCTAATTGGCTATTATGAAGTACTTAGAGATAAGAATATCATTCTTTTGCCATTATCTGTTTTGATATGGCCTAGACACATGACAGGGCAAATGACCTCAGTTTAAAGGAACACTTCTATTACATGACTAATGAATGAGCTAAAGATAAATCCTTTGACATCTTTGGTCAGTCGGTCCTTCTGTTGGTCGGTCAGCCTGCCTGCCTCTCTCTCTCACTCCCTCTCTCTCCCTCCCTCCCTCTCCCCCCTCCTCCCTCCCCTCTCCCTCTGCCTTTCTCTCTGTAGCATCTTACTCTGCAGTCCAGGCTGACCTTGAACTTGCAGTCCTCCCAGGCCCTACATCCCTCACTGTGCCTGGGTGGTATAATTCTTTTAGTTCTTAAATATTAACCCTTTTTATAACAAAGGTGTGAGGAAATGGTAGTAAATGCACCATGTCCTGTGAGTCCTGTTGTCTCTGTGTGTGGCCTCTTCTGCAGGGGAGAGAAGAACTGTGCTTAATTGAGTAACTTGAAACAGTCAAGCTCTTTTGAGGCTCTGATAAGTCAGAATGAAAGCAGAGATTCTCTTGGTATGACCCATTGACTCTCCCTCACTGCCTAGATCTCAGTTAATTCACTGTTTCTTACCAGCTTATCCCATTAATGGGGAAAGAGTGGGAACAGAAGAAATGGTAAAAGATGAAAAGGACTAGGTGATGATCAACAACTGAAAAACAGAAAAAGTGGACCCTGTTGTGAGCTACTGATTTGGGGGTGTTGCTCATGACAGTTATTTCTGATGTTATCACTGAATTTTTGTAGTAAAAGTGGTCCTTATATTAAGCTTGAGACTTGAGGAATGAAAAACATGTTTTCTGAATACTCGAGTTTATGTTTAAGAAGTATCTCTGTATGTGCCTAAACTTCCTAAGAAGGTGTGGCCGACAGGGTAAGTTTTCAGTTTTTCCTGGGTGGACTTTTTCCTTGTTTCATGGTGTAGGTAAAGAAGGATGAATGCACGGTGCAGCATGCCTCAGCCTGTATCTGCTGTCACTTGGAGTTTTTGTAACATGGTTAATATGGCAGGGCAGGATTTGTGAGGCCCAGAGACAGGTGTAATAGAAGCATCCTGAGGGCCGCTGTCCCTCACTCTCTGCCTGCCCCAGCTGGGAAGAATGCCAGTGCCCAGGTTTTAATCTGATCGAGATAGTGAGTACACTTGTCCTTAGTCCAGCGTAAGGTCACAGCATTGTGCTATGTTGTGTTTTCATGGTAGAGCGTATATAACATTGGGGATCTCTCTTTCGACGAGTTTAATTGATACAAACCTACCTGCGGTAGAGTTCAAGTGCACTGATCTTAAAAACATGCTTAGCGCTGAGCTCATCTTCCATTTTGCGTGTATGTATATTGACTGACCTGTTTTTCTCTCACATATTGCCCTCCTTTTACCCTGCTGCTGAGTACATAGTTCTTGTCTGAAGAGGAGAAATTATCACTTTACAGCATTTTGATGAAATTAATAAAGCTTTTGATAATACTTGAAGGACTTTCAATTACCTTTTTTTGTTTGTTTGTTTTTTCATAAAGTGAGGTCTTCTTTCCGTGAAGTAGCTTATCCTAGTGAGCGCTTGTCATCTCTGAGCCGCCACAGTGTTTCGTCTTTAAGGATTCTGTTACAGGAGGACAAAGAAGAATGAAGTTAAACAAGCACCAGGCTTATATGGAGGAAGTAGTTTCATGCTTTTAAAATTCAGCGTTTGTTACTGCCTTCTCTACTCCTTCTTGGGGGTTAGCCACACTGAGACGGTAAATTTGGCCGAGGTTGGGTTTGTTCTGCCTTGATTTAGGCTGTTGTTTTTCTGAATTCTTTTAACCAGCACGACCTGAGCTTTAGATATGCATGTACATTGGTTTGCTAAAACGAACACTAAGACGCCATGAATCTGAAGTTGGACGTGTACATGCTGATCCAAGGTTCAGTCTGAGTATTGTGCCTCCTCCCCAACCCAACCCAGTACACAGGAAGTGTTAGCCAGTGAAGAAGTGGGCGAAACACTTCATTTTCTTTTTCTGTAGTTAGGACTCCAGACCGGGGAAAAGTATCCTGCGTAAGGTGGGCCTGAAACCTTGGTTCTTTGTTAGAGTTTGTTTCTTGGTTCCTTACAGATTTTATTGTAATCATCACAACTTCTTGTTTCATGGGAATGTAAATAGATATTTTTATAGAAACCTGCTGAAACCAAGTGACAATGATCATTTTACATTTGTGTGGAATATTCCTCAAAGATCATGAAATTCTTTTTAGAAACAAAAGAGGCTAAGTGCTCTGTGGAGAAATAATGTGTGAGATCCAGGACAGTGTGGACGTGTGCTGTGGGAGATAAAGTGAGCAGGATTACGGGTGGGCAGGGCAGGGGTGAACTTTAGCTTTTCTATTTATTAAATTTTGAACTTTAGCTTTTCTGCTTCTTAAATTTTGAATCAGTTGTGTCTAATGCAGTTTGGTTATCTCTTATCTGAAATGGTTGGGACTGGAAATAGATTTTGAGGTTTTTTTGCATGCTTGAAAATTGAAAGAGGTGTCTTTGGGGTGAAACACAAGTATAAAAACAAACTTCATTTATATTTTGTTTATGCCTTATATACATAACCCTAAAGTCATTTTATTCAGTAGTGTTAGTATGCCATTGCATAAAGTCAGCTGTGGAATTTTCCACTTGTACATTGTTTTCGTGTTAAAAAACCTTCAGATTTTGGAGCTTTTGGAATTTCAGATTTTTGAATTAGGGATGTTCATCTTGAATGGCCATTCATACTAGTTCTTAATGCATCAGTATTAATAATATTGGTTTTAAAATAAAAACTTACAGTTTTTATATTTTTACTTTTGTATCTTTGAAATAGTTCAAAACTAGGACAAAATGTACATGAAAACGGCTTGCTTTCAGATCATCGTCAGTCCCCAGTTTATGATGAGCCTCTTTCCTCCAGTTTCTCACCATTGCTTAAAAGGAGCAGTGCTGGTGTTTCCGTCTCTCTCCTACTCTGGACATGAAAACTCTCAATCCAGGCTTCCTGAGACCTTTGTTTTCTAGCTGATTATTCTACCAGTGGAAAATGCTGTATGTGTGTGATCAATATGCAACATTCTTAAACGTATTAAAGCCTTTTTCCTACTCGTAGTAGTAATTTACTTAATAGTATTATTTAATTCTGCATCTTTCATGAAGTCTTCCAGTCCTTTATTCTGTCGTAGGCTAGGTATTTCAGAGCTTGCACCCTGCTCTGGGCCCTCCCTGTGTCTTTCAGCACTGTGACTCTAGGGGTAGGTGAGTGGTGTTCTCTGTTTTTAAAATGTAGACCTCCCCAGAAGAAAGGGTCATTGTAAGCACACCAAGTGATTTCACAGAAGTTCCTCTTTTTTTTGTAAGTGAGCACACTCGTCGTTTCTCAGAACCCCTTCTCCTTGGCTCCCGTTTGGAGTGGCTGTCTCACCCTGATTTGTCTTGCCAGGGCCTCTTGTCCGGCTTGTGCCCCTCTACAGACAGCCCGTGAAGCTGTCTCACCGCCCAGAAGCATGACTGCCTTTCTGTCTTCATTGCCTTGGCCATTTAATGTTTGACGTGCAGAACCCTTCTCAGAAGCTAGGAGGAAACCAGTTTAGAAGTCTGTGGTCTTTTTTTTTTTTTTTTTTCATTTCTCTGCAGCATTTGGTGTGACTGATTTCCTTTTACTGAAACCTTGTGTTTCTAAGGTACGTTGTAACCTATGGGTGCAGAACATCCCTTATCTTTTTCCTTTTGCTAAGACCTTTAGTTCATTTGTTCACTAAATCTGTTAGAACGTGTCTGCAGACACTGTGCAAATATTTCAGTCATAGAGAACCCTTAGGAAGTTTCCAGGCTATGGGGAGGCCAAACAGAATGGTAGTTTAAGGTGCAATAAGGGCTGTTATTGACAAAGAAAGCACAGGAACACATGAAGCACTTGCCTGGTTTATGGAATTCTGGTGTCAGTCAGCCTTCTGGGAGCATGCAGTAATGAAGACTGACAAATGAACAGACTTTGGTCAAACAAAGAAGGAGAAGGAGGGAGCTTTGGGGGAGAGAGCTATAAGAGCAAACATTAAAGACACGTCAGCTGGCAGAGTGGCACATGCCTGTAATGTAATCCCAGCACTCGAGGCTGAGGCAGGAAGACCTTGAGTTTGAGGCCAGCCTTGGGTACAAAGTGAGTTCTAGGCTAGCCTGAACTGCATAGTGAGACCCCATTTCTAAAAGACAACAGACAAAATAAGACACATGAGATGAGTGCCCACTGGGGGCCATGGTTTGCTTTAAAACTGTTTGACACTGTAATTGAGCCTGCTGATGCATGATGTTACCCCATTAAGGACACTGATTTAAAGGGGTTAAGTTATTCTAATAAGAGACAAACAGTTTTAACTAGCGTGTGACCAAACAGCATTTCAACTAGAGCTGTTCAGCTCCAAGCCAGTGCTACAGTACTGCCAGAAGCTACAAGGTAGCCTGTGCTGTGTGTGAGGGCCTGGCCATTTCATGCAAACCACTCTGCATTTTCCTGGAGTCTTGTTTTTAGGAATCACTTAGCTTTTTTTTTTTTTGTATTTCTTTTGGAAGGACATGTGCCCTTGTGAGTGAATATGGCAGTTATTTGAATCTAGGTTTTAAAGTCCTGATGGTGTTGAATACCTATAGTTTCTCTAGTTATGGTCCAAGTACCACTGCATAGAGAACTTTCTTTTCTTTTCTTCTTCTTCTTTTTTTTTTTTTTTTGGTAACATTTTCTAAAGGTGTTTAAAATAGATGTATGTTTGACTTTGATTAGCTTTCTGTCTTCAATGCTGACACCCAAGGAGAAAGACAGACTTACTCATAGTAGGAATTAAAACAAGTAGCAGTATTTGTTCAGTCTTTGTTGAAGAGCAAGACCTAGATTCCCTGGGGCCCCTGACAGGAATTGGACTCTGCTGACTGCTACTTTTTATCTGCAGCCAGTTTTGTCTGGCAGCAGATGTGAAGTTTTGATCACACCTAACTTGATCCCCTTAGCTGCTCTACAGCTCATGGACTTCCCCTTTGTCAAACTCTAGGCCAGTTACATGTGTGTTACTGTGACTGATGATTGGATGGCAGACACATACTTTGTGGGGTTGTGCTGATTAGTCCTCGCCGTAGAAATACCTGCATGCTCTTTTGGCTGAGTTGCAGACATCTAAGGAACTTCCACTTCCACCCTTCTCCTTGACTGTCTGGTCTGTTCTAAGCTTCAAAACTCCGCTTGATGAAACATCTGCATTTCTGCTATACACAGAGCCCAAGAGCCCATCAGTTAAACGTGAGCATGAGGGTGCACTAGGAGGATAACAAACTCTGGTCATATTGAAAGCATTGTTTGTCTCCAGTTCCTGTTGAGGTGTTCTTTTGTGCATTGCGTGTTTAGCAGCAACCCTGGCCTCTGTCCACTAGGTGGCAGTACTACTCCATGACTGTCTTCTCACATTTCTAAATGCTCTAAAGTTTAGAACCACTAGAGTAAAGAGCCTTAAATAATAGGTGTATTTGATACCATTCTGGTTCTAAAAGCATTTAGCTCTCTTATTGGCATCCAACCTTAACTGTTTATTGAATAATTTGTCAGGAATAAGGAATCTATATGCTGGGGTCTAGGAATATGAAGTGGACTTTATTTACTGCGGTACTAGAATAGTGGGCAGACAGTGCAACACGGGTTAAAAACATACATGTCCGATGTAGTGTGCTTTGTTAGAAGTGTGGTTCAAATTCTTAATAGCTGTACTGTTGTGATGCCAAATGCCTTTGGGTGTCAGGTTTTACATCTCTAAGATGAGAGGGTAGAAGATACCTTGTAGGGTTCCTGTTTCCTGTACTTGACGGGACATTGGGGTTATAAGGAGTCACTCAGTTTTCCACAAAGTAAGCAAATACTTCTGGGACACTGTCTCCAGACCTTGCCTGAGCGAGACTCTCACGCACCTTCCTTTCTGCACAGTGCTGTTTAGATTCATGTCCTGTGCACTATAGCACAGTGCTCTGATAGGCACAGGAGATGCTTTGCACAGTGCTCTCTGAGCCTCCTTGGCTGCGTGGCCCAGTGGCACTTTTCCTGGAGGAGGAGGTGAGATAGGAGCATTGCTTCTTATGATCACAGGAAATGGTATTCAACAGTGAAGGGCGTGAGTAAAATCCAGTGTTTCATGCTCTTATCAGCAATCCATGTAGCCTGTGAGGATGGCAGAAAGCTCAGAGTAGCTTTGTGCCTTGACAATTTTTCCTTCAGGTTTGCTGTTTCTTGCTGAAACCAGGTTGATCTCTCTGGATTCTCAATTTTTTCCCCCTTCAGCCTGTTCTTTTACAACGTTGTTTGGGAATGTGGGGCTTGATTCCCTGGGGCCAGGCAAGGAAATGAATCTCTGAGATTTGCCTCTCTATGAGGCAAAGAGGTTCGCATTTTGTTTGTCAAGCAGTACTGGGGTTTAAGCAACTCGTTGCTGTCCCTTTGCTGTAGAAATGGAGAACAGAGTTCCATTTCATGCCTTAACTAAATAGTAACCCCTCTATGTTAAAGATTCAGGATTACATAGCCAAAACCAATAACAACAGCAAAAGTATAAATACAATAGACTTTC